CTACATACCTGCCCCCCCTCCCCCCCCATCCTCACCCATACCTCTTTTACCTTAGCCTCCCGCCCACCCACTCTTCCACCCCTTCGCTTCTTTCCTCCAACTTCCACGCCATCCTATTCCTTTTTTACTCTCACTCTTACTTTAACAAATTACTAATGACTCTAAAAACTAAAATATATATATCAACATTGTATTTTCTACTTGTGTGCTATACTCTGACTTACTCATTTCATAACTCACAATTCACTAACACTCGTCTACTCACCACTCACGTAGCCACATGGGCACATCGTCCTGCAGAAACCCGTTAATTGCACAAGAATTACATGCGTACTGTTTCCGGAATATAAACGGCTTGTGCCAATAATATATTATTGTCTTGCATTATGTTTTATCATGCAAATGTTGTCTTGAGAAAGTCAATTTTGATGTAATGAGTTGCTCCCGAAGTATGAGGACTGCATTACCTGTTTTCATTATTGCTTTGCCTCAAATTGCTGTTGGTGACGTCTGATAGACAACTTCAATGAACTGAGATACTCAATTACTATTAGTCAGACGTATACGGTATGCACTATTGCACAGCACACTTCTGAACTCTGCATTGTTGCATTTTTTTCTTTTTTCCCAAGGAAGTTCGTCGTTCAAGACAAGTCCTTGCGGACTGCGACACCTTTTGCTTCCTGGTAGTTCTGCACAATGCTTATCTCTTGTTGAATTTCATCTCCTGCTAACTGAGGCAATTGCAACTCAAGCAAGTCCTTGCAGACTATTGCAATTGTCTCCCTAAGCATGTTCCTCTGTCAATCCTTGGACAGTGAATTATTGAAAAAAATTAATAAAAATTGAAAATTCATGAAAATATTTGTAATAACAATCTTTGCAATCTGATATATTTTGATTATATCTTATGGTCCCTGCTATAACACAACCCCCCCCCCCCCCTGTTTGCCCTCCTGTCTCTGCCTTGGTGTACTTATTTCAGAGAACGTCAGCACCAGCCCGTCGCGGGCAACGGTTAGTAGCATATGCCGAGCGATCTGAGGAATGAGGAGTACCTATCCAAGTCCCCCAGCGATAGGGACACCCGAGCCGTTCGTCAACGCTAGAAGACATACTTGACCAGGGCTCTTGGCCCTGACCAGACCTCCTCCCTGGGGGTCTCTCCCCACGCACGCGCGCTCGGCGCCTTTAGGGTTCCCCTTTGCACCAGCACAACACAGCCACACCACGCTACCTACCCCTCCCATCAATAAACAGCTGAACCAGAATTGTGTCTCCATAATCCACCAAATCAAGCAAACACTAAACCCTGACAGTGTCACACACACAACAGAGAGAGAAAGGGAGAGAGAGAGAGAGGGAAAGGGAAAGGGAGAGAGAGAGAGAGAATTTTTTTGTTTTTTATCTCCAAAGCCAACAGGAATGTGATATTTACTGTAATATTGTTTTGTGAAATATCTTTACATAAAAATGGCTCCAATAAGGCAAAGTCACCAAGGAGTTAATCAGTAGACTTATTTTCATTTTATATAAATATAATACAGTATAGTATGTTCCACTTATACTTATTATGGATTAACCCACTGCCACCAGGTGCACTGAATTTTGTTTACTTATACATGGCTCAACAAGTGCTCAATCATCAAGGAGTCATAACTTGACTTCACCAGAATTCCCCATTCATTTAACTTTTGGGAATAGTATTATTTTTTCTAATGCTATGAATATCAGTACTCAATTGTATTATTTATGTTATGTTTATCATAAAAAAAGAACAATAATCCCTATCAAAATCAAATTATGATGTACCCACCCATTATGGAGCAGCTACCCATTATGGGTGGGTGCTTCATGTGCAGGGTGGTGTGAAGCGATGGTGTGGTAGTCTAGATAGTGTTAAGTGCTTGCATGCCTTCTCGCTTGTAGCTGCCACCACTAGCTAGCCTAGTGCAAAAACGGGAGCAGCTCTGCATAAGGCACCCCTGCCAGTGCACAGCCTCTCCATCATCCGAGACTTCTGCAGTGCCTTCCCATGGCCACCTATGGAAACTGGTACCTTGCCGTCCCAGGCCGAACTGTAGGGGATCTCAGAGCAGCAGGTCCCAGAGGTACAGGGTCATGGCACATCAACATGTGGACACACCCTGGCCTTGTACTAACTCCTGCCCCTAAGCCCCCTGGGGTCAATGGGAGGCTTGGGGGAGGTGGGCCTTACCAGTCCTCCTCCCCCCATAAAAAACCTCATCGGCAACATCGCATATAATTGGAAATGCTGGGGGGAGGGGAAATGTCCTCCTATCCAGCAAGAGAGGCGGGCTGTGGGCCTCATGGGGCGCAGGATGGGAACAGGTGCTACTCGTCCTGCCTGCGCTTTGGCAGCTGCCAGCCTGGAATGAAGCTTGTGGGGCAAAGCCCTAGGGAACCCCACAGGTGGATGATGGAACCCGTAGTCTGCCGCCCCCTTTTATATGGGGTAGGGTTGGTGGGGGTGGCAGATGTGGCATCCACCCGGAGTGACTGTCTAAGGGTGAACCTCAGGCGGGAAGTCTGGGTGGGGGCTTGGAACATCTGCTCTTTATGTCAGGATGATCGGTTGCCTCTACTATCGAGGGAACTGGGGAGGCTAAGAGTTGGGGAGGCTGCTCTATCGGAGGTGAGAAGACCTGGAAATGGCACGATCAGTGTAGGTGGCTATACTTATTACTTGTCAGGCTGCAGCGATGGTCATCACCTTCAGGGAGTAGCCATAGCTATCTCCAATACGTTCCAGCCCTCAGTGGTAGAGATTACTCCAATCGATGAGCGTATAATGGTATTGAGACTGAAGCTAGTATTTGGCTTCATGTCTCTTATTGCTGTGTACGCTCCTACCGATGTTTGTAAACTCAACATGAAAGAGATGTTCTATGCCAAACTGCCATCTGTGGAAGATAGATATCCCTGGCAAAATATTTGTATTGTCCTGGGTGACTTCAATGCGGTATCTGGCTGTGATCGAGCTGGCTATGAGATGTCTGTCAGTCCTCATGGTTCAGGGTGACTTCAATGCGGTATCTGGCTGTGATCGAGCTGGCTATGAGATGTCTGTCGGTCCTCATGGTTCAGGAACTGATACCGGCAGCGAGAATAGCTTCCTTTTCTTTGTAAGGTCCCAGAAATTAAGGATTTTTGGCTCCTGGTGCCAGCGCCCAGACCCACATCACTGGTCATGGTACAGCGATGTGGGTAATGCAGCCAAGGAGATCAACCACATACTCGTTAGCACTCGTTGGAGGATCCTCCAGAACTGCTGGGTGTATAGGAGTGCCGAGTTCTGTGGTATTGACCATAGATTGGTTGCGACTACCCTCAGGGTCCACTTCAAAACTCCCCAGTGGTCCAATGATCACCCTAGGGTGTTTCATTTGGACAGGCTGAAGGAGTGGGAGTGTGCTCGGGGGTTTGCCGAGGCAATCTCTGGTCGTTTCAGAGTACTCGAAAGTCTGATAGACCCTGTACTTCTGTGGGACATCTTCAAGCACGAAACATTTGATGCAACCCAAGAGTTGATTGGTGAATGCCCGAGATCAATGCAGAATTTTATCTCACAGGAGACACTGGAAGTCACAAATGCTTGCCGTGAAGCTTGTCTAACAGGGGATCGGGATTTGCACCATTCTCAGGTGGGTAGAACTCTGTCTCTCTTAAGAAGGGAGAATGGACAGTTTATTAGGAGTCTTGCTGAGGAGGTCAAAGGCCATTTCTTAGTAAATGACCTTCATCCTGCATACCAAGCAATGAGAAAGCTGAATTCCAAATAGCTAGTCTGTATACTGGTACTGAAAGTGTTGTAAAGTGTGTGTGTGTGTGGGGGGGGGGGGGGCTGATGAGCTTCTTTCCTGTTAGTTCAGGAGTGAGGCAAGGCTCTGCCCTTGCACCAACACTTTTCAATCCTTGCATGGACTGGATACTGGGCAGAGCTACTGTTCAAAGTCATTGTGGAGCAACTTTGGGCAATATCAAGGTTACAGATCTTGACTTTGCCAAAGATGTTGCTATTCTATCTGAGTCTTTGGAAACCTTAGTGGTGGCTCTCGATGCATTTAGTAATGAAGTGAAACCCTTGGGTCTAGAGGTCTCCTGGACCAAGACCAAGATCCAGGACTTAGAGGACTTGCTAGGAGAACCTGTTTGGTCAATACATGCTTGTGGCAAGGACATTGAAATCACGGAGAGCTTTACATACTTTGGAAGTGTAGTTCATAACTCTGGGCTGTCAGACCAGGAAGTCAGCAGATGGATTGGCCTGGCAGCAGGGGTCATGAACTCTCTCGAAAAGAGTATTTGGAGATGCCGGTACCTGTGCAGAAGGACCAAGCTACGGGTGTTCAAGGCACTGATAATGCCAGTTTTGCTACAAGGTAGTGAAACCTGGACATTGTCCTGTGCCTTGGAGTCTCGTCTTGATGCCTTCTTCCTTACGCCGGATCATGGGGTACAGTTGGCGGGACCACGTGTCCAACCAAGAGTTGCACTGGGAGACTGGCACAGGACCTATTACCTGCACTATCGGGATCGCCAACTCAGGCTATACAGCCACCTGGCTCATTTCCCACAGGATGATCCTGCCTATCAGGTTGTCTCTGCAAGAGACAACCCTGGGTGGAGGAGGCCTGTGGGACGAACTAAGAGGTCGTGGCTTGGGCAGATCGATCAAACCTGTCGTGAGGAGCTCGAGATGGGCTGAGTCCCTGCCTGGCGGCTTATCATAAGGGACCCCAAAAGGTTATTCTTATATATATACAAAGGGTGGATGTAGTTATGCTCCCCCATCGGTATAAGCCCCCTAATAATGAATGATGATGTTGAAAATCAAATTAAAGAGACAAGAGGGAAGATATGTAGGACTAATAATCGACTCCTTGGTGACTAAGCTGCTAGTAGCAATGGGCTGATGAAAACAGATCATGGGGAGAAAAATAAACTTCCCTTGTCTGTAAGAATCAGTATGAGCTTACCTTGAGTATGCTCTCACGGATTGTAAGGGTACAGTAATACCAAACTAAGAGGAACATATGGATGAGGTCAGCTGTCCTGCAAGAACAAAAAAATACATGATAATGGAAGAGAGAGAGAGAATAAAGTGATATAGAAGACAGGGGGAGAAGTGTCTAAATGTACAAAAAAGGGAAAAAATTTGTGCGACAGGTGAAGGAGAATTTGTACTGTGAAGACCATTTGTCTTTTCACACAATGGGAATCTACAGTGGTTAATGGTTAATATACAAAATAATGGAAAATATCTAAAATCATAATTTTCTAATCACAACTTTCAAAAGAATGCTGAAAATGTTGTAAATGTACCACAGAAAGATCAAAGATAAAAACATCACTGTTTTTTAAGTCTATTCATGTTTTTGTGTGTATTTAAGTGATTTATATTTGCATTTTCCAAATGCTTAATAATAACCTATGGAAGAACAAGTGTGATTTCAACTAAATACAATGAGAATAAATGGATAGCCACATGAGCATTTCCCAGGAACAAATCACCAATCTAAACTATGGCTGAGGTGTTTGATTTATTGTAGAGTAACTTGCAAATCTGTTCATGAATCAACCTGGCAAATACCCGCTGCTTTACCACTCTTCAGCTTGGAGATTGCCTCCCTAACCTCAGCTAGGGAGGGAGGGTCCTCGCTAATGGGTGGGTCCGGCAGCGGAATCACGGCACTACCCACATCCAAGTTAACTGTTGGAGGGTCAACCTGATACAACTGCTCAAAGTATTCAGCCCAACACTCCCTCACCGCAACAGGATCTGAGACAATCTGGCCACCTGTGAAGAGGGCTTGGAGTTCAGTTTTCTCAAGGCTTGGTATGCAGGACGAAGGTCATTTACTAAGAAATGGCCTTCAACCTCCTCAGCAAGATTCCTAATAAACTGTTCCTTGTCCCTTCTTAACAGAGACCGAGTTCTGCGCACCTGAGAATGGTGCAAATCCCGATCCCCTGCCAGACGAGCCGCTCGGCAAGCATCAGTGGCTTCCAGTGTCTCCTGAGAGATTGAATTCTGTCTTGCCCTCGGGCGTTCTCCAATCGATTCTTGGGCTGCATCAAGCGTTTCACGCTTGAAGGTGTCCCACAGAAGTACAGGGTCCGTCAGGTTGTCAAGCGCTGTGTACCGATCAGAGATTGTCTCAGCAAACCTCCGAGCACACTCCCTCTCCTTCAGCCTGTCCAGATGAAACACCCTAGGGTGGTCATTGGGCCGCTGGGGAGTTTTGAAGTGTACCTGGAGAGTAGCCACAACCAATCTATGGTCAGTACCACAGAACTCAGCACTCCTGTACACCCTGCAGTTCTGGAGGATCCTCCAACGAGTGCTAACGAGAATGTGGTCGATCTCCTTGGTTGCATTACCCGCATCGCTGTACCTTGTCCAACGATGTGGGTCTGGGCGCTGGTACCAGGAGCCAGAAATCCTCGATTTCTGGGATCTAGCAAAATCCCAGAAAAGGAGGGAATTCTCGCTGCCGGTATCAACTCCTGAACCATGAGGACCGACTGACATCTCATAGCCAGCTCGATCGCAGCCAGATACCGCATTGAAGTCACCCAGAACAATACGAATATCTCGCCGGGGACAACTGTCTGCCACAGATGCAAGTTTGGCGTAGAACATCTCTTTCACATCAAGTTTACAAACATCGGTAGGAGCGTACACAGCAATAAGAGACATGAAGCCCAAAGACAGCTTCAGTCTCATTACCATTATACGCTCATCGACTGGAGTGACCTCTACCACCGAGGGCTGGAGCCTACCGGAGACAGCTATGGCTACTCCCTGGAGATGGTGACCATCGCTGCGGCCTGACTAATAATAGGTGTAGCCACCTACACTGGTCGTGCCGCTGCCAGGTCTTTCCACCTATGAGAGAGCAGCCACCCCCACTCTCAGCCTCCCCAGTTCCCTCGATAGCAGGGGTAACCGATCATCCTCACGTAAAGAGCGGACGTTCCAAGCCCCCACCCTGACTTCCCACCTGAGGTTAACCCTCGGGTAGTCGCCACCTCTGCCACCCCCGCCGACGCTGCCCCACATAAAAGGCAGCAGGCTGTGGGACCCTTCATCGACCTGTGGGGTTCCCTAGGGCTTTGCCCCACAAGCTTTATATTGAGCTGGCGGCTGCCAGGACGCAGGCAAGACGAGGAGCTCCCGTTCCTATTCCGCGGCCCAGCAGCCACCCTCCCAACGGGGCCCGCAGCCTGCCTCTCTCGCTGGCTAGGAGGGACATTACCCCTCCTCCCAGCATTTCCTATTAAATGTAACACTGCCAGTGGGTTATTCTCTGGGGGGAGGAGGACTGGCAAGGCCCACCTCCCCCGAGCCTCCCATTGACCCCAGGGGGCTTATGGGCAGGAGTTAGTACAGGGCCAGGGCGTGTCCCATGACCCTGTACCTCTGGGGCCTCCTGCTGCTCCGAGATCCCCTACAGTTCTGCCTGGGACCGCAAGGTGCCAGTTTCCATGGGAGGCCACGAGGAGGCACTGCAGAAGTCTCGATGATGGAGAGGCTATGAACTGGCAGGGGAGACTTATGCAGCGCTGCTCCCTTTATCGCACAAGGCTAGCCAGCGGTGGCAGCTGCAAGCAAGAAGGCATGCAAGCACTAAACACTATCTAGGCTACCACACCATCGCTTCACACCACCCTGCGCATGAAGCACCCACCCATAAAGGCTGGTGGTGAACCTATGGTACAGGGATTGCATGCTGTCCTGGCTGCCATTTGGCAGTCCGGTACCGTTCCCTCTGACCTGTTGAGGGGTGTGGTCATCCCTCTCTGGAAAGGGAAGGGGAACCGATGGGACTGCAGCAATCACGGCGGCATCACACTGCTCAGTGTACCAGGCAAGGTTCTTGCCCGCATCCTTCTGAAGCGTATCAGAGACCATCTACTAAGGCATCAGAGGCCAGAGCAATCCGGATTCACTCCTGGTAAGTCAACAATAGACCGTATCCTTGCGCTTCGAGTCATTGTGGAGCGCCGTCGTGAGTTCGGACGTGGGTTGCTTGCAGCCTACATTGACCTCAAGAAGGCATTCGATACAGTACATCGGGAATCACTCTGGGAGATCCTGAGACTGAGAGGAATTCCAACAAGGATTATTGAACTAATAGCAAACCTATATACTGGTACTGAAAGTGTTGTAAAGTGTGGTGGGGGCCTGTCGAGCTTCTTTCCTGTCAGTTCAGGAGTGAGGCAAGGCTGTGTTCTTGCACCAACCCTTTTCAACACTTGCATGGACTGGATACTAGGCAGAGCTACTGTTCAAAGTCAATGTGGAGCAACACTGGGTAATATTAAGGTTACAGACCTTGATTTTGCCGATGATGTTGCCATTCTATCTGAGTCTTTGGAAACCTTAGTGGTGGCCCTCGATGCATTTAGTAATGAAGCGAAGCCCCTGGGTCTAGAGGTCTCCTGGACCAAGACCAAGATCCAGGACTTTGGGGACTTGCTAGGAGAACCTGTTCAGTCGGTGCGTGCTTGCGGCGAGGACATTGAAGTCAGAGAGCTTTATATACCTTGGTAGTGCAGTTCATCACTCTGGGCTGTCAGACCAGGAAGTCAGTAGACGGATTGGCCTGGCAGCAGGGGTCATGAACTCTCTTGACAAGAGTATTTGGAGATGCCGGTACCTGTGCAGAAGGACCAAGCTTCGGGTTTTCAGGGCCCTGGTAATGCCAGTTTTGCTCTACGGTAGTGAAACCTGGACATTATCCAGTGCACTGGAGTCTCGTCTTGACGCCTTTTGTAATAGGTCCTTGCGCCAGATCATGGGGTACTGTTGGCGGGACCATGTGTCTAACCACCGCCTGCACTGTGAGACTGGCACAGGACCTGTTACCTGCACAATCCATGATCGCCAACTCAGGCTATATGGCCACCTGGCTCGCTTTCCACAGGCTGATCCTGCCCATCAGGTTGTCTCTGTAAGAGACAACCCTGGGTGGAGGAGGCCTGTGGGACGACCCGTGGCTTGGGCAGATCGATCAAACCTGTCAGGAAGAGCTCGAGATGAGCCAGGCCCCTGCCTGGCGACTTGCCATGAGGGATCCCAAAAGGTGGAAGCAGAAGGTGGACGCGGCTATGCGCCACCGTCGGCGTTAGCTCCGGATGATGATGATGATGAATCAACCTGGACCAGTGCTTTGCCCAAAGATCAAGCAGTTATACTCTGTGACCACCATAACAAGACTCACATTATCTGTAGCATGAATATGAAATTGGTATGATTTGACCTCCAATAATTATGTAATATAGTAAACCATCCCAAAAATGCAAAATAATTGTTTTTCACAATTCTAACTGTCCATGAAGCTCTGAACTTTCCAGTCTTTTAAGGTTTAAAAGAAAAGAGAAAAAGGAGGTAGAAAAATGGAGAGAGAGAAAATGGGACAATAAGAAAGCAGAGAAATATTGGGTTTTCTTTTCTTGAGATCCTCTGTTTTTATTATAAACAGTAAATATTAATGAATCCAATGGATAAAAGTATATTCTCAAAATAGGTCATTAACATAATATCAAATCTTAGTGTATGAACTGTAAAAACCCACCTGAAATTTGTGATGATATTGAATGTAGAAATGGCAAAAGCCACAAGGTTAATAACCAACTTAAACTTCTCATATTCATCCTTATATCTGTATCTGTAAATAAGAAAAGAAAAACAAAAATATCATTATAAAGTTTAGAGGAAAGGCATCTCAAACCAAACCAAAACAACAATAAATTACATAATTAACCAAATGCCACCTGGTAAAAAGGTTTGGCAAGTGGATGTAGTAACGCGATTGTAGGCGCACATTGACAGTTTCCCTTGTTTGTTATATTAGTTTGCAAGCTACATTTGGCACCTAAAATCTATTATTTTGCTATAGTTTATAAAAATATTATAATTTTGAAGGTTTACCTTCATTAAAAGTGCTATTGCCTAAAATCTTTACCATATCAATAAAGCCACTACTATTCGGAAAAAAACAAACTCCATCCGAAGAGCCAGTGGCGCGGGAATGGTCATAATACGATGCCATCTGTTTTTTTGTCCACAATAGCCATGGCATGTACGTACATGCTACCGGGCAGCTAGTGGTTAAATCAGCAGATTTCACTTACTTGTCATCCTTATTCAAAATAGAGACATTGATATTTCCCAGGATAATCTTCAAGTAGAGACCACTTGGCTTTGGGATGTTGTTCTCCATGTCATAGAGCTGGGCCTTTCTGCGTATGAGGTCTGTCTGCAGGAGCTTGTTCCGTTCCTCATTGTCTGGATCGTCTTTATGGTCTAAC